CTAACTGTTTTTACAAAAACAGTTAGCTCTCCAGATTAAGCAACATTCAAAGTTGAGAAGAAAAACATGATGACAAGAAAGACATGAAAGATGACAAGAAAGACATGAAAGATGACAAGAAAGACATGAAAGATGACAAGAAAGACATGAAAGATGACAAGAAAGACATGAAAGATGACAAGAAAGACATGAAAGATGACAAGAAAGACATGAAAGATGACAAGAAAGACATGAAAGATGACAAGAAAGCCCATTGACTATTCATACTTTATTTGTCAAGTTTGCAAATTAAAGTGTAATCAGGTTCCTTTTGTCCACAATGCTCTCTCCAGGCACATGAAAAGCTGTGCTCTGACAACGCTCAAAAAGTTTCCTCACCAGGGCACAAAAGGTTCAAAATTTAAAAAGTTTAAAAAGAGGTGCAAACTATCTCTAAAATCAGAGAAAAACTGGCTGCATCTGTCTTTGAGCAAAAAATGCTAAGCTTAAGGAAACTAAAAGATTAATCAGTGCACAGGATAGAATGACCCTCACTCCTGGACCTTCTTGCTGAAACTCAGAAAAGAACCCCATGCTCTCAACAACTGACATGGTCATAGTTTTAATCAACACTGGTATTTCCAATAACAAAATTAAAGTCTTGCATCAACTCCTAACAAGTCATTTGGAGCATAGTTGGTGAAATCAAACTTCAAGGATGAGTGTTTGAAAGAAATTAGAATCCTTCATCACATCAGCTATTTATTATTTCAAAAAAAATAATGCCTCAACCAAGGTCTGTTTGAGTTTGCTGCTTTGGTTTCTGAAGAAAGAGGAATTTCTAAATCATGCAGCATCACCAAAATTGTGGTTGATTTGTGGAAAAACAAGAACAATTGAATCAATCAGAAATCAATTCCAGCTTTACAATTTACATTCAAGGTAAGAAATTAAAGGCAAAGAAGTACCTAAATGTAATTCAAAAACCTCTCATTCAAGCAGAGCATTGGCTAAAACTGTCTGGAAACTTATTTCTCCTATGGAACTCCTTCTTTTGCTTAGGGTGGTGAATCATCTTTACAAGAGAATCTGGGAAGGAGCCTTCAAAGTTGTATTTGAACATTCAACCATACCATTGTAGAGAGCTGGGAATGTCTGCAAGAGTTTTTGACCAAACATCAAGTTATTTCTGCCATGAACTTTGTCAAGGCTTTCAAGCACTTTCAAAGCATTGTTTATTGTTGCTTCAGAAACAATATGTCTCCATATTTCGTAGTTCACATCAACCAATTTCAAGAATGCTACCTGACACTGCTGGTCACAGTGACTCCAAAAGATCACGTTTTTCACCACGTCCAAAAGTTTATCAAAATCTACAACACTAAGCTTAGTCTTTATAATACAACATCTTTAGGTGGAAGGTTGAAAAAAAAAATATTTTTGGTTCAACATCAAATTTCTCCTAATTTTTAAATACAGAATATCCTTTATGTGCAATTTAAATTACTTTGAAAACAATTTGAAACCTGTTTTGTTGTAAGAAAATGAATCAAAAAAGATTTTTTTATGTGTTTTTAAATTGATTTATGATCAGAAGGAAAAAATAAAAATTTTCATGATGTTTTTATATGGCTCAAATTCTTATTATCTATAAGCTAACCTGTTGCATAAAAAAGCAAAGAATGAAACAATAGGCAGTCCAAACTTTTACTTTGTCTTATTTTTGTATCTTTATGACTTATCTTTGATCTTTATGAAAGCTAAAAATACAATTACAACCACAAAATTTATCAGACTGAAAAATTGATTGAAATTTCTTCGAGAACAGTATATATAAATTGGTTCCTTTACCTACCTCGCTTTGAAGCCCTGTAAATTAACCAAATGAAAAGATGAATGGCTTCATTTATTTTCTACTAAAAGCCTATTAAATACTTTTCAGCCTGTTTTTAAAGTTGAATACTTATTTTAGCTTATTTAAAAGTTTGCTTTTTGTAACATTTTGATGGAGACTGACTGTACTAAAAATTTATAAATTTTGTATAAAATTTTGCTTTCTATCTGGTATATTTGAGCCTCAAGTAGGAATAAAACAAAATTAAAAAAAAAGACAAAAAAAATGGCTCTATTTTAACATAAAGGTGTAAAATCACATATATATTAATAAATTTAAAATAGATAGGTAATTAGCCATCATTTTATTCAACAGCCAGAGTAAAAGTGGGTCAAACCAATCATTGAATGATAAAAATCAAGTACCTTAATTATTTTTTAAAATTTCTAAACTATTTTTTTTTTAAATAAGATAGAAAATACCAACAAACACATTATTTATTAATTTTTTTTTTTTAGTTGTATTTGAAAATATGAAAACTAGAAGAAAAAAAAATGATCGCTTTTGGCAGAAAGTCTGTTAAAACCGACCAATATAAAATAGATTTAATAAATTTAACATTTTATTTATGTAAATGTATATATTTTTATATATTTTTTATATAGCATACAAAAATAATAAAAGATTTAAGGTTTACATTTTTTACAACAAAAAAAATCTGAGCCCATTAAAAAATTTTTTGGCAAACATGTTGCAGAGCCAAGTATTACAATTTGGATTCTCGTATGAAATCATGTCCGAATGTAATTCTTTTTTACACTTTCTGCATTTAATAACTTTTCTTCTTTTGGCTGAAGGTGTTTATATTGGTTCTATATTTTGAGTTACTTCTTTTTCTGCAGGGTTTGGTAATGGCATTAAGAATTTGCAGATGGTTTTACACTTTTTAACTTGTTTTTCAGCTAATTTGAGTTGCTTAACTTCTTTTTTTTTTTTGAGATGATCTGCAACACAGTGTTCTGTAATACATTGGCCAGCAATTTTTGGAATATTAGGTTGCCTCGATTTTTTTACATAAGACTGATTTTTTCTTGATAAAAACTCTTGAGCTTATTTTTCATTTTGATTTTCATTCTCTCATGTAGTGCTCTGTACTTGTCAAACCTCGAAGCTGCTGTTGCAGATTCAGAAGATAATGCTAAAGACTATATTGTTCGCAATAGCGTTGAAGATGTCGGTAGATTAAACGTTTTCGGAGATTCGGAGAGCTAATGCCTGTTGTTTGATTTTGTTTTTGTTAAGTAGAAATAACCCAGTATATTTAAAACCAGGAATAGCGTGCAAACGTGTAAAACACTTAACGCTTTCATACACCTGTTTGAGCAACGTAGGAAAATTTTCTTTATCTAAGTTTTTGCATTTTGTATCTTTGTAATATTTGATAAGAACTGTCTTCCACACTTGCTTAACATGGCAATAGACACCTCTGTCCAGTGGCTGAAGAATGTGAGATGAGTGGGCTGGTAGACAAATCAAAATTATATTGTTTTCCCAACATAACAATACAACTGCTAAACTGACGTGAGGCGTATGTCCATCAAAATGTAAAATATGAGTACCACTAATAACTTGATATTCTGGTATATACACTTCTTTCAACCATTCAATAAATGTGTCATGCTCCATCCAACCAGATTTAGAAATTTGGTGCCAGTCGGACCACTCAGCTCTAAAGTTTCGTTTTGCTTTGTATACCACGAATGGTGGTGTAAAGTATTCATCAGCATTACAGCAATTGTTCACTGTATAATGGATTTTTTCATTGTTACCAGTGAGTTTCAAAACACGCTTTGCTCCTTTTCAACATACTACAATTGCTTTGCCTTGATCACCACAGAAACCTGTTTCATCGTAATTCCAAATGTGACAACTAGAAATTATTCCAGACAATTGATATTGTTTAGTGACAACTTCAAAATAATTATCAATTATTTCTTGCGTACAAGTAGCAGCTCTGGCAGATGTTAAAGTGTGAGTTTTTCTTGTGGAAATTTCTTTAGACCATCGGTTTATAAATGCATAAAACCAGTCTTTGCCAGGCCTGCCGTTTTTAAATAGGCCTGATTGATTTGTACGAAGAAGGTAACTGCATACGAAGTCCATGACATCATTTAAACATATGCACCATAATTGACTCTGTTTGCTGTGAGAGTACGGTTGTTGATCCTGATCCCTTGAAGCTAACATTCTTGCTGTTCTTGCGACCTATTAGAGTTAAGAATGAAATGCCATATTTGAATGCAGCTTCTCTGATTAAAGTATTTCTTTCTTTTATATCATTTAATGCAGCTTCTATATCTTCTTCATTGTATGACGTTTTACTTGTTGTTATCTTGAAAGTGAATAATTAATAAAAATCATTGAGTCATTTTTGTAAAATAACTTTATATAGGAAGAACCCGGAACTAACACATGAGAAAATTCAATAATTTAATTCACCTAGGTACCTAATTAAAAAATTCACATACTACTTAATAAAGGAATTTAAAGTAAATATGTGAATGATCGGTTTTACCAGAAAAAGCTTAATATTAATTTTTCTTACTTTTTTATCTAATTTTTAACTATAAAAGGAAAAAAAATTATGTAATCGGTATTAAAATTAAATTTTCTGCAAGATAGAGGTATAATTATTTTTAAACAAATTATGGTTCCCGAATTATTATGATAGCAAATAAAAGAAAAAATCAAATTTTAACAACTCTCTTTTTAACTTTTATAAAAATAAAATGACTGAAAATTTTTTATGCCAAATGAACTCTCAAAAGTCTCAAATGGACATATTATCATTTTTTTGGTCTTTAATTTGAGGGTCAGGGCCAAAATTGGCAAACTGTGAATAGGAAAGTAAATTATTTTATTTTTTTATGTTTTTTTTTTTATATACTTATTAACGAAGGTGTTTATACCTTGAAATATTGTAAAACGTTATTCATGCAATAATTTCAAAGTTATAGCTATATATATATATATATATATATATATATATATATATATATATATATATATATATATATATATATATATATATATATATATATATATATATATATATATATATATATATATATATATATATATATGTCTGTATAGATTGGTAATGATAATAATATATATGTCTGTATAGATTAGTAAAGTTAACTGGACTTGATAGAAAAATAATATATGGAGGTGAAATGTTGCAGGTAGTTATTATCAAATTTTAAAATTTTTTTTTAGAGATAATGAGTTTTCTAATTAAAATTCAAAGTTAATTGTTGAATCATATTATATGTTATATGTGATTTTTTTTTAAATTTCTTTAACTTAAATAATTTGAATTTTTTTTTTTATTATTTAAAATCTTTTTAATAGCTATTGTTATCAAAAATATTTAGGTATTAAATTACCTTCCTAATGGACATTATCATGCTCATCATGATAGTGAAACTCATCAAAGGGCGGATCTTCCATGTTGCCATCAATATTCAGGTGATGTTCTCACTAGTGTTGGTGAATGTAAATTATGCAGGTATAGTGATAAAAAGTATTTTCATTACATGAATTTTGATAAAAACATTTTGTATTACATTATTTGTAGATATTCTTAAGCTTTTAAAACTGAAATTATTTCTATTATAATTTTGCAATAAGATTTAATAATAGAACAAAAATTTACTAATAGAACTAATATGTTCTAAAGGAAGAGTTGGACACTAACAGTGTGCCCCTAAGTAAATAATGTAAAATTGTATATTAGTAAAATAAAAAAAACATAAAAGTTTATATTAAAAAATAGCAATAAGATGCACATAAGCTATATTAATTTATGCCTTCTTGGCCTTGGGGAGGCATAATATTATATATAGTTAGCATAAATAAAAAACAAAAAGATCTAAACTTGCATCTTGCATCTTGTTGCATACATTTTGTTGCATGCATCTTGTTACATATACCTTGTTGTGTACATCTTGTAGCATTTATCTTGTTGGATACATCTTGTTGCATAAATTTTGTGATCTCAAAGATAGTAATTGAAGCATGATTACATGATGAAAGAGGTTAATGTTTTGTGTAACATGGCTTTTAGTTCCACTCTTAGCAAAAGAGTTCAAAAGTCTCTTTTTAAAGTTAATAGTTGTGCATCAGTTTTTTCAATGAAGTATTCAAACAGTAGCGGACTGGCAAATTTGAGCGGCCCGGGAAACCCTAAGTGGACCGGCCTCAAAAAAATATATATATAATATAAAATAACATGTTAATATAATATTACATATAAATACATAGTTAATAAAAAATAAATAAATAAAAGATTCTTAACCATTTAAATATTTACTAATACCAGAAGCATTTTCTCTTATTTTATCTATTATTGTATAATTATTTAAATTAACCATAATATCCTTCTCTATCGCCATAAGCATCAAAAACTGCAAATTATCTTGTGACAACGAAGATCTGAGTCTATTTTTTATAATTTTTAATTTGGAAAAACTACGTTCACAAGCTACTTGCATCGAAGATAATGTTAAAATTTATATGCAAAATAAACATTGCTGTATACTTTGCTTTATAAATTATATTTAGCCAAGAAATTAAAACAGCAATAAATACAATTTTCGCAACTCTTTTTGTTTTTGAGGCATACTTCACTTATTATTTCTGAATCTGAATCAGTTAATTCATCAGTGTTATATATATCTTGCATAGATATTTTAAATTCGTCCCATTTTGTCATTAAATCTGTTAATTCCTCCCTTAAATTTGACGCTGTAGCTGTTTTATGATATTTTACTAGTAATTTACTGAGCTCTTCTAAACTGTTTTCTGAACATTTATTGTCGGTAAAATTTTTAGGGTCTAATATTGCCATGACTGCATATAATTTTCCATGATTTTTAAAATGGTTTTCTATAGTATTTATTGTGGTATCTATAATTACGTTAAACGTGGTTATTTTATATTTTTCAATTGGGTTTTGAAATTCATGATCTTCGGTTATTTCTTCGGGCATTCTCTTTCGTTGTCTAAATCTCTCTTCTGGTATATCTTCTTCGACAATTATTTCACAATTTTCCTCTTCAAGTAGTGTATTTGCACGTTTAGCAAATGAATTTGACTTTTCTTTTACATTACTAAAATCACGTGAAAATTTTTTTAAAGAATTCAATGTGGAAGTTACCATGTTATAAGCTGTTAAATAGTTTAAATTGCTGGTTTGTAAATATTTAGATAACGGTCCAATATATTTAAAAAATTTTAAATAAATATGCGCTGTAAGTATAACTTTAAATTTCAATAAAGACTCCATTAGTGTTGATGCAGTGTGTCTAATTTGAGCATTGAAAGATACATTAGACACAAAATAATTCAAATTTATCAATAAGTATACATATAATGAGGTTTCTTTGTTATCATAATGCCCAAAAAAATTTTTAAGTGCTGTTTCTTTTGCTGACCATCTTGTTTCACCTATAATGTTAAGTCTCTGATACCTTATTTTTACACTGGTGTTTTCCCAAACATCCATACGTTGATTAGATTCTCTTAGAAATACGGCACACGAGTTGAGTAATTGAAAGAGAGAAGTACCTTCAATTACCGAACTAGTAGCATCTGTGACAACTAAATTCAATACGTGGGCATAACACCAAATGTGAATTTGACCAGGCAATTTTTTTCTTAACCAACTGGTGAAGCCATTATACTGTCCACGCATGTTTGCTGCTCAATCTGTCGAATTACCGATACAATTTTTAATATTTAGTCCACTGTTTTTAATAAAAGTACTAATTATATTGCACATGTCTTTGCCTGTAGACAATTTGCAACTTAAAACAGCTACTACACGTTCATAAATATTTCCCTTTACATATCGGACAACAATTGAGCACTGATCCTTTTGTGTTATGTTCTGTGTGGTGTCAATTTGCAAAGAAAAAATATCTGCTTCGTGTATATCTAACAAAATGCTATCTTGAATTAATTTTCCACTGGCCAAAATTACCTGGTTAATAGTAGATTTTGAAATTAATGAAATGAAACTGCCTCTACCTTTAGTTACCGCAGATGTTTCATTATTTTTCTTATTTTCTTTGATGACTCTTGATAAATGTAATTTTAAAACAGCGTCATATTTAGAGAGTAGCAATATTATTTCTAAAAAATTACCATGGTTACCATGATCTTCTTGATTATTTTCAGGTGAAAGTGAAGAAACATATTCAGATTGGTGAGCGCAAAAAGCTAATCCTCTTTTTCCAATTAATTTTACAACATCTATAATTCTTTACAATACTTGTTTTTGTTCAATAATATTTTTCTGACGTATGCTTCCTTCATTTGCGAACATTAAATTATAAATATCTTTGCCTTTAGATTTGAGAATATGACAATTTACACAATTTTCATGAGTTTTACTATTTTCATGTTCTTTAACACGTTGCAAAGTGTGCCTCCAGTCCGCCATTCCACGATTTACAAACGAACTCTTGCTTGTAATATCACTGTAAGCCAAACACATGATACAAAATAGAGCATTTTTTTCCAAACTATATGATAGCCAACGTCTATTTACTTTATCTTCTCTATAAAATATTAAATTTGGTTTAAAAGGTAAATTAGTAATGTCATCAATGGTTGGTTGGCATGGATATTTTTTAAAAAAGTCTTCATAATTTTGATTTCCTAGCCTTATGAAATAATTATCTGATAAGAAATTAAGCATTTTGTTTGTTGGTGTTATCATTTCATTATTGGCCTGGGTGGAAGCTGAAACTGAAGTTATTTCTTCGAGAATTGATGTTTTAACTTCATCTGCGCCAATGGGACACATAAATAATAAACGTAAATAATTTAACAATATAATACAATAAGTATTTATTTAACCCATTAAAGTTAATATAGTTTATAAAATAATAATAATAATATTATATAATTTATAAAATAATAATAATATTATATAGTTTATAAAATAATAATATTGTATAATTAAATTAAAATGAACACTTCCAGTTGGATGAAAAAAAATGAGAATAAGATCTATTTAAATAGATCTATTTATTGATAACGTTTTTAATATCAAACAACGTTTTTGTCACCAAAAATATTAAACGTTTATTTATTAAACTCTTTTAATTTATATATTTATTTTTTTTATTCAGAAGAAATAATTTAATAGTTTACTTATTACTGGCCTCGCGGCCTCTAATTCGACCGGCCCACCAGGAAATGTCCTAATGTCCCGCCGGCCCAGTCCGCCACTGTATTCAAAAGATTCAAACAAGAGGAAGAAAAATTATCAAAAAACTTATTGTGAAATGTGTAGTTTAACAATTTTTTTTTTGTTTTTTTTGTTTAACATCTTCACTTCCAGCAAGTCTGCAAGAAACTACAATTAGAAGTTACTGGAAGAGAAAAGATGAAGTTTATAAAGCAAGATAATTAACAGATAGCTTAAAAGATTGCAACTTATCTAAAAGAGAAACGGCATAATTTAAAGATCCGCTCCAGATATTGCACTAGTATTTCATACAAGTACAGATTAGAGATTTATAGAGATAAAGAATAGAATCTGGAGTAAGAAAGTGGTGAGCACAATAAAGAGATGCAACCTTAGCAGATGCTAATTTTAGAATGGATTTGATATATGGCTCCCAAGAAAGATCAAATGTAAGAGTTAATCCGAGAAGACAAAGGGTAGATAACTTATTGAGTACATTAATGTAGGAAGATCTAGATTGTTGGGATAACAATTAGCTGAAAAAAATGAGTTTTATATGAGTTTAAGTTCACCAGGCACTTAGAGCCCCATGCTGTAGCAGAAGTTAGATGCTTTTCAAGCTCAAATGTTCCAAGCAATCAAAGATTGTTGGATTCTTTTCAAGACAAGAATAAATGGTAGTTTCATCAGCGAACAATACCACCTATTAGTTATTACAGTTAGCAAATCAGTAGTAAACCAAGAAGATCGAAATTTATATTGATGATCAGAAAGAAAGTTATTAGATTCAAAATAAGAGATTAAGTGTTTGTTAATTATGATAAGCACTTGTTAAATAGTTTAAAAGTATAGACAATAGCTCCAAAGAACACTTTTGCAAGATTATAATTAGTATGTTGTTCAGACCACAAGCTGTAATAGAATCTAAACAGGAAATCATTTTAGATACAGAAGCTGAAGTGATACGAATGTCAAGCAATGGATCAACCTGTTTGTCAGCAACATCAGGTAAGATATGATTAATGGAATTAAGAGTTCAGATTGATGAAAATTTTTTAGCAAACAGTTTGGCGTTGTCTTTAGGTGATATAACACAAAATCTAAACCATGCAAGAGAGTTGAAATAACAGATTTTTCCTTATTATAGCCACCATTAAAAACTCTCCAGAACTTTCTGGAACCTAATTTTCAAAATACAAGATTTTGTGACCTGAGGGCTTTGGCATTAAACAAAACTTTTTTACAATATTTTCTAGCAATAGTAAACAAATGTCTGTTTTCTTGAGAATTGTTTTAGCGATAAATTTTAAAGTGACGATTCCAATTGGAAATTGAAGCAACACAGTGAGAGGAAAACTATGACAAATAGTGAAACTGGTTTTGAGAGCTTGAAACTGGTTTTGACCCAACTTTACTAGTAGTTCTATGAAAAACCCTATACAAGTACTATGTGTTACACTGACACTTCTTTATGCTTTTATGTTCATGAATGTTGTTTTTTGGAATTAAATTTTTAATATCAAGAAATGCATGCACTAAACAATACAAAAAAAATATTTTGCTAGTAACATTGGGTGGTCAGATCTTTTAAGCCAAAACTTCTCATTTAAGGTTAAGTCTGTTTGTAAATGAAAAATTTATTTAATCCTTAAAAAAAATATTCTTTTGTAGTTGGCATCTACAGTCATAATAAAAAGAATTGTGTGCATGTATTAGTATTGATATCTTAACTTATGAATTAATTTGAATAGCATTTATTGATATATTCACCATTTATCACAATCTTTTGTTTTTTGAAAGAAATAAGTTGTTTTGTTATTTTTCAGGTATAGACACTGGATGTGGGGAACTTTTATTTTATATTGTTATAAAATCGGTCTGTCTCAATCAAGTAGAGATCTGAAAAATGGAATTTTTTATTTTACTGGAATCTATTTGTATATATTTTAAAAAATCGAATTTTAATTTTACTTTTTAAAAATACTAAACTTAAAGTTACTTTTTTTTTTATAGGTATTTTTAAACAAGACAATCTGAAATCCCTTTTTTTATATTTTTTTATATTAAGTATTTAAAAAAAAAAGATAATCAAAATCCTTTATGATATTTACAAAAAATATTTACATCTAAATTATGATTCTTAATTTGAGAGAAACTCTTTTGAGTTTTGCACCAAAAACAGAAAAATGATTAATCAATATTTATTAAACCTTAGGTTCAAGTCAGGCTTTAGAAGCATCATCCTTTTATAAACTAAATTTTTAAAGTTTACAAAATATTTAACCCACCAAATCAAATTCAAAAAGTTATAATTTTACTACATTGAATCCGGTTCTAGGCATAGGCATGATAAAATACATCCAGGGGTTCTAAGCGAACCCCTGGATGTATTTTATCATGCCTATGCCTATATGCCTATCAACATCATTATTGATGTTAACTTATTGATGTCAAACCTTAAGTGGTTACATTACTGTTGACATCATACTTATTAATGTCAAACCTCAAGTGGTTACATTACAATTTTATTTTATTTATTTTTAGAAACATCACTTTTGGTTGCTTAAAGTTTTCAAATACACATAGTGATTTTATGTAAATTTATTGCTTTTTAGGTACATTACTTTTGTGTTGTACTTGAATAATGTTGAAGAAGGGGGTGGAACAGCTTTTCCAATTGCTGATAACATCACATTTAACGAAATGGTGAATAAATTATTAAATTAATTTAATGAGACGGTGCGTAAATTGTTAAATTAGAAAGAATTTATATCTAAGGAAAATTGAAATAAAAATTAAAATGTTTATTGAGAAGTATTTGTGGGAAATTAATAACTATTGATAAAATTGATAATTAGTAATTATTGATAAAATTGATAATTAAAAAAATTATTAAAATAGAAAGAAAAATTTAAATTAAAATTAAAATGTTTGAATTAAAAAAAAAGTTTTTTTTACCAATCATAAAAAATAAAATTATTTAAAAAAATTAAGTCAATTAATTTTAAACATCTTTTTTTTTTATTTAATATAATTTTTGTCAATTATTTAAAAAATATAAGAAAGTTTTTTTTATGTTTATGATTGTGAGTTTTTATTTTGTTTTCTTAAAAGGGTACAGTGGTTGGCCATCACGTTAGGACCACACAATTTTTTACAATTTTTATCAAATAAATGACATAAATTCATATATGATAAGATAAATATGATTTTGTCTTTTGTTACATGTCAAGTTATTTCTATTCTCAGTAAGGTTTAATAAAAGTTTCATTAATTTTATGACTGTTATAAAGCATCTGTCATTTGTCACATTTCAGACAATTCAAGGTTATTTTTATTTGTTAGTTTAATTAAAGTTTTAATGTGATTTAGTTTAATTCAAAGCTTAAGTATTTCATTTCATTAATTTTTTTTTTTTGTGAACTCAAAGATTATCAGAAAGCAATTATCTTTATTTTTTATTTTTTCTTATATTTATATAAAGATAGCACCAGGTTTCACCCATTTTTAAATGGTTAGGCAGCTCACCTAATCCTAACCCCATCAAAAATATTTTGTTTTGAAATTATGTATTAACTAGCAAACAAGATCTTATTGAAAAGATTATAAAACTTTGGCACAAAAACTTAGTTGACAGAAACTATTAAAAAAAATAAAATGCAAACATGCCACAACGCATGAATGCAAACAACAACAGTTTTCAAAATATTAATTTTATGATATATCCATAAATAAAATATTAATAAATTGTTGTAGTTATTAATATTCAAAACCTTAAACTTTTTGTTTATTTATTTATTGCATAATACTTTTTCAATGAAAAGTGTAAGCTTTGCATTGCACCTGTCTTTATCTTTTTGTTTTAAAGTTTGTTTTTACATGATATTTACAAAAAATTACCTCTGGTGATGGCCACCCACTGTAATTCCTAAATTATTTATATGACCTTAGTTTTAAAATTTGTTTAGTTTACCAGCTTTTAATGTTGTTGTTGTTGTTGTTTTTTATAACAAATTTACTTTCAACAAGGCTGCAACCACTATTTAAGTTTTAAACTATTAAAAAGTAAGAGATTAGGATAATTATTAAGATTAGGAAACTTAAATTAAAAAGTAGTTAAAAAATAGTTAAAGAGTAAACGTGTATATATATATTTAATTGGTAAAATAAGTGTGAGAACGTGTTTTTTGTAAAGAGTTAAGTGTGTTACTCAAAGACCTCAGTTTCTTTAGAAAAACCAATTATGTCATTGCTAGAAGCCATAGCTAGAAGCCATAGCTAGAATCGTCAGAGTAATCTTCAGAGTTTTTACAAATGAAAACTATTTTCTAAATCGCAGGAAAACAAGTTTTAGTTTTGCACTTAAATAGTTTAAAGAGTTCTAAAAAACACATTTGTAAGACATGGATAGGAATGTTGTCAGGACTACAAATTGTAGAAGGGTTTTGTTGATCAATTTGACATATTTGATATGATGCGTTTACTGAAACTTTATTTTATTTACTTTTACCTATCTGCTGGCATAGTTGAATAAAGAACTTGCTCTTTGAAGGTTGAAGTTTTATTCTGAGCTGTTTAATTTTTCTGATTTTTAATTAAGAAACCAGTGTTATTAGAAATAGTAACTTCTATTTTATTTTGTTTGCTTATAAAAATTTAGTATATTCTTTAGGGTTTGCTTTTATCTCATTATTTTCAAACCACAGTAACAATTGATTTGCATCCATTTTAAAGTTGGTATTTACCAAAGTAACATCTTTTCAATTTTCAGCATGGAGTGTTTTGGAAGAACAAGAAATAAATCACAGATAAAAATATTAAACAACAATGGTACAAGAATTGAACCTTGTGAAACTCCATATGACATATCAATGTAATAGCTCATCATTTATTCTTACTCTCTGTATTCTATTTATTAAGTATGAAGAAGTAAGCATATTATTGTAATTATAGTAAAAGTATCAATTATAACGATTTGCATTGCTATTAACAGTTGATGCAAAAGTTTGTATCAATTATAACTATTTGCATAAGAAATTAGGGAAGATAAACATTATACTTTAGTACCAACAGAGTCAGTGGTAGAGCCAAACTATTGGGTATGATGAGTAATTAAGTTATCAATAGCAACAATATTGGCAGATGGATAATGTGAAAGGTGTAGGTTGAATTGATTATAAAAACATAGGTGTGCACTTTTAGATCAAATAGTGTGATTAAAGTGCTAAAGAAAGAATTGTCAGAAGATTCAAACTGGATTTTGCAACAAATAAGTAAACAGATGTAAGCATATGCTCAGGCCAAGGATGTTAGAGCATTTTAAGCTATAAAAGTCTTTTTGAGTCAAAGGTTATAGCCATCTACACTGTGATCCAAAAATGAAATAGCCAATTTTGTGCATTCACAAGCAAATTTTGCAAGTAGTAAGATATTACAAATAAAAAGTTTCTTCATAGCCCACACATATTTGTAAAAGATTGAAAAAATTTGGTGATAAAAATAGTTAAAGAGTAAACGTGTATATATATATTTAATTGGTAAAATAAGTGTGAGAACGTGTTTTTTGTAAAGAGTTAAGTGTGTTACTCAAAGACCTCAGTTTCTTTATGATACAGCAACTGCACAATATAATGATACAGCAACTGCACAAGTTAAATTTTTTTTTTTTTTGGAGAGAGGAGAAAATAGAGAAGTGTGGTCTGACTTATAAAATAAAAGTTTCTTTTGCTTACCTAAATTTATAAAAACGTATAATAGATAAAGCACAAATCAAAGAGTAAATATAAGTTATTGGGTTGTTGGGAAGGTTATCAAAAAATAAATAATTATAATAGTTAATATATAATAATTACATATTATTATTTCTAAAAGATGTCTCGGTGGGAGATGGTGATTTAGGTTAGCAAATGTTTATTTTTTGTAAAAGTTAACTTGGTGGGATACATATAACATTTATATATATCACAGTATATTTATATATATCACGTTTATATATGCCATAGTATATTTATACATTTCACGTTTATATACAGTATCGGACAAAACAAGTGCAATCAAATAATGCTAATTTAGTTTCTTTATATAAAAGCGCTGTATTTTTTCAATTTAGAGAAATAACTATGTAACTGTTTAGAGACAATGTTCTTCAAGTTTTATTCATCACAAAGTTCATTATTTGTACACAAAAATTAATATATTAATCAAAATTATTAAAAAAAGTTTATTTCCTTCTGGACAAAACAAGTGCAACTCCACAAAATGTTGACTATGCTGTATTTCGCTATCAATATTTCGTGGCAAATCCTTTGTTGTTGATCACAGCCTTGCATCTTCGAGGCATAGATTTGATCAGGTGTTCAACGAAACTTTGTGGAATCGCTGCCCAGGCCTTTTGGATTTGTTCAAACTGTTGATTCTTATTAGGAACACCTCTACGATTAATTCTGCGATTGACGATCTCCCACAGGTTCTCAATAGGGTTGAGATCCGGAGATTGAGGAGGCCAATCCATCACCGAATGGTGGTTGTCTTGAAACCACTGCTTGACTACTTTTGCAGTGTGTTTCGGATCGTTGTCTTGCTGAAAAACCCATTTTATTGGCATATTTCATTCAGCATTAGGTAACGTAACATCTTTCAGGATATTTTTTCATGAAACGGTCCATTATTCCATCGTTTGGATGTATTGACTGTTAGCAGAAAAACACCCCAAGACCATTACATTGCCTCCACCATGCTTCACGGTCTCATGGCAGTAACGTAAATTGAGGCGTTTTCCGGCTGGTCAGCGTACACTGCAAATGCCATTGCTCCCAATGATGTTGAACTTCGATTCATCACTGAACAGGTCAAAAGTGGTGGAATGCGGTCTTCCACCTTTGTTTCTGCTGCCAACGTCCCCGTAAAACGATATTTGGAACATAGTCTTGATACAGTCCATTTTTTCACGCGATATTTATTACAAATACTTTTTTGTGACATTCCACTTACGTAATCGCAAATAATTTTCTTTCTTAGTTCCAATCCAAGACTGTCGGGAGCCATTTTTGCACTTGAAGTCATAAAAATAATAAAAATAAATAATCACGCTTCTCAAGGCTTACCGTGTTACATTTACCTTGTGATGATACAATAATGCTATGTGGAACACAACGTCTTGGTTGGATGTGGAATGTATTAATGTAATGAAACACTTGTTGTATTTCACTTCTTGTTCTTTGATAAAACACTTTGATAAAACTCACTTCGATAAACTGTCTTGATAATACTGACTGATTGACTTCCATATACTGACTGAATTACATGTTGCTTTACATGTCTCTTATATAGTAAAATGAACCTGTGTGAACCTGTTTTGGAAGATTCTAGATGCTTCTTTTTGATGCTTCTGGAAGCTTCTGGATGCGTCTGGATGCTTCTGAATGTTTCTGGATGCTTCTGGATGCTTCAAAATGCTTCCAGATGCTTCTTCAGGAAACTTCTGGAAGCTTCTGCATGCTTCTGGAAACTTCTGGATACTTCTGGATACTTCCTTTAATTATTAAAAAATTTCCGTGACGTTGACACGGACCAGACTTAAGAAAATGAAACAAACCAAAAAAGTTGCACTTGTTTTGTCCGCTGCAAAATGGCACTTGTCAACGAAATACTACCTGTGTGCTGTCACCTGTCAGCTGATTGCTCATGTCATGGTATGCTTTGACTCCAGACTCCTGAACTGTTTGCTGTGATAGTATAGTTCGTTTCGCTTTTAAGACGTAAAATTAGGAACACTTTTTAGCATTGTTCAATGTTGGTTGCAAATGTTTTGTCCAATACTGTAAATATACTGTGTCACAGTATATTTACACATATCACGTTTTTATATATCACATTATCTTTGTACACATCACATTCATATATACCACAGTATATTTATACATATCGCATTTATACATGCCTCTGTCCATTTATACTTTTCAACATATAAGTTATAGTCACAAAAAGTTTTTGTTTACTTCAAAAGGTATACTTAAATATTAAATATTTTGTATTGGTTCTAGTATTGGTATCGTGGTATTGAAATATTTAAGATGACTTTGCTTTGTTTTGCCCAAATGAGAACTCATAATTTTATTTAAAATTTAAGTTCCCTCTTTTGTTATTAATAAATATATTCATTTTTAGAGTTCTGCTGAAATGTGAGTTTTGTAAATAAGCTAGTGAAGAAAACATTGATATTTTTGATTAAACTATTTGCTTAGAAATCTTTTTTTTTTCTAACTAAATTGCTCCATTTAATATTAGAATGATTTTATATGATATTTTATATTTTTCCAAACCTCAGTATATCTATGAGGCATATAATATAGTTCCTATAGTGTACATTGGTTTTGATTTTTTGCCGACTGGTATTCTGACATTTCTTTTATCATCTGAACCATTTATTTTAAACTTAGACTCACCTCAACATAAAATTTCTACTTTTTTCTGTTTAACTCCCTAATTTTTTGCCGATATAAATGGTTTTTTTGCTGCAGAATACCTTTACAATCTTGCTTTAAATAAACGTTGTGCGATTTTTTCTGAATATTTATTCAAAAATGATTGTAAATCTGGCGCTATTTTACGATTAGAATGTACAGTGCTTTCTTTGGTTGTCCACCTAAATGCATTGTTCCAACATTCTTTTTGTTTCATATTTATTACCTAATTGGTTTAAAACTGCTTTTGACATTTTATGCAAAGTTTAAGTGTAAGCTGTTTTTTTTCAAGCAGCAAGTTTATTAAAACTTTATTTAAACTCAAGTTTATTTAAAGTTTATTTGGACTTTTTATTATAAACTTTTTTTCAACTTTTTATTATAAACTTTAAATCCAAGTTTAAGCCTTCGAATTAAAAACTGTCTTGATTTTATTTAAAGATTTGTTACTTGTTGTTGAATGGTTAAAATTCAAAATTTTAACCATTCAACAACAAGTAACAAATCTTTAAATTCATAAGTCGCGATGATTTCGTAATTATTTTAAACTTTTTGTCCAAGGAAAAGCATTTTTTTTTCGAGTTCTATTAGTTTCTGGGAACAGTGCAAACATATATTCTGTTTTCTGAACCATTAACTTTTATTTTTTTACATTGAAAATAATTTAAATTTTAGAACATGGTGCAGTACGGAAATGTTTCAACTGACAAGTATAACATGATGCATGGATGTAAACTATCCAACTTAGTCATTCAACCAAAAAAAGGTTCTGCAGTTTTGTGGTATAATCATTTGCGCAATGAGACGGACGGTTGGATGGGTGAACTAGACTGGTACAGTTTACATGGAGGATGCAATATCATAAAAGGAGAAAAATGGATGGCTAATATGTGGATTCCTGCACCGTTTGGTAATTCAAGACATATCCCTAGTATATATTTGAATAATGAAGATTATGAAAAAGCTGAAGCAGCTAGTCAGAAAGAATAAGTTTATATTTATTCTGTGTTAACAAATAATTCATAACAAAAAAAATAAAAGTTTTGTTTCAAAATCTTTTGTTTTTAAATGAAGTAACAAAATATAACAATTAGAATTGAAAGGTTTTCGGTTAAATTTTTAAAAACAAAAAATTTAATTAAATAACAAGTTAATGTTGTATTGCTAAACTTTTTTTTATTTTTTTATTATTATTTCTTTTTTTATTAGTTTGTATTTAAAAAAATACTTTAAATTATAATTTTAAAACTTTAGTTTGTATTTTTTAAACGTTTTTACACAAATTTCCTGACAATGAAGATTATAAAGCACGTCAGGGTAGATATTTTTAAGGTTTGTTAGGGTGGATATTTTTATATTAAATATAATTTCTTAAACTAGACGAGAGTTTATTGGAGGGTTTAAAATTATAGTAATATAATACTTTTTTATTTGTTTAAGTGGCGGATAAATTGTGGCCGTGGCATATTTGATGCAAATGTGCAAAAAAATAAAATAATATTCGATTCAAATGTGCAAAAAAAAACTTCATTCTCAAAATATAAAAACAAATGATTTTATGTTAGAAAATTTAGCAAGATTATTGATTTTATGCAGACGATTTAGCAAAAACATTGGATTACTATATTAACCGCGTTTTATTAAAAGATGTATGACATTTGTAGCTTTTTTGTGGTTGATGTGCTTGACAAAATAAGAATTGTACTATATTTGCACTTAAATGTAATGAATAAGAAATGGTTTCAGTTAAATTTGATATTATTGGAAGGAAGTTAAATTTGATATCATTGAAATTAAAAAGTTTTCTGGTATAACTTTTTATGCTGATCAAGAATCTTTTTTCAAAATTAAAATTGCTATTTAGGAAAAAAAGTTATGAGTAAAAAACGGAAAAGGAGAACTGTGGGCTTGAATGAAATACGCTAATAATAAGTGAAGCAACAGCTTACTTCTTCGCGGCTTTTTTATATTAAATCTCAAGTGACCAATAAATCTCCAACTAGAAATTTTTTGAATTGCACGTCAAATTAAATACTCATGTAAACTTCTTAATAGCTAATGCTTTATTTTAATTTTGAAGTTTGTTGTTGTTATATATTTGTAAAAAATTAGGAAAAATTTCTCGATCTTTTATTAAAATAAGTTTCTAATCGAAAAATAACTTATTACTAATAAATTTTTAAGATTTTGGCTTCTAGTTTTTTATAAATATTTATTTCTTATTAATAAAACGTGTTTTTAATATTTAGGACCCCTTAAATATCGGGAGCAACACGTACAACAAGTGCAATCGCACTTGTTGTACTTGCGATAGTACTACGTCTCTGTTTATAAATCTAAAATAAAAGAATGAAGAAAAATGAAAAAGAGATTGAGATTGCTTTTAAAATTCAAAAAGGGAAACTTAAACAACGGGAGGTTTGGTCATCGCAGCTGCCGGAACTTTTCCGTAAATAAAAGGATTCTTCCGTTTAAATTAAACCGTTAAACAACGGAAAGGCAACTCAACTGCCGGATAGTTTAATAAAAGTAATGTTGCATTTTATATTCCGTTCATATGAAAATTTAAACAAATTATTTCTGCAAATATTATAAATATATATATATATATATATATATATATATATATATATATATATATATATATATATATATATATATATATATATATATATATATATATATATATATATATATATATATATATATATATATATATATATATATATATATAAAATTGATTGTATGTTTTTGAAAATATTTTCTGAAAACAAATTTTCTTTGATTTACATAAAAAGTATTATAATTTCCGTGATTTACATTTCACTTCAACAGCAAATACACGAATAAATAATAAATTAGTAAAGTTATAAACACTTTCAAAAAAATTATTAATGATTTTGATAAAGCATATACAATAGGGTGGAGTGAAAAAATCTTTTTTTGGAAATTCATTTGAGCTGGGTATGGAAAAGTTGCCTTTGGGTACAAAATGAACTGTGGTAAAAGCATTTTGCTCTAGATTAATATTTAGGTCTGCCCCAAAGCACTTGAAAATTTGAATATTTCGATAATTTCGGCATTTTTGGCTTAAAAAAATAATAATTTCATATCATTGCAAATTCAAGTTGGCTTGGTATGCAAAAGTTGCCATTTAGTACAAGGTAAACTGTGGTAAAAGCATTTTGCCCTAGGTTAATTCTTAGGTCTACCCCAAAGCACTCGAAAATTGGCGTTTTTCGTGCATTTTGTGGTTTTCGGAGAAAAAGTTAATAATTTCCTATAATTACAAATTTCAGTATTTACATTATGTTGTTTGAATTATTATGTTAGAAATTAATTATTTTATTTTTATATTATTATTTTAGATTAGAAAATTATTTTAGATTAGAAAATTCAAACAACCTCGCATCTGTGTAAGAAGCACAAGACACGGCTGCGTACCAATTGCCCAATTTTTGGAAATCCTTCATATTTACCAGAGACCGTTCTTCCCACAAATGCTGATGTGATGAAATATTACTTGTTCCTTAAAGACGAAATGACATATAGATCTGCAGAGATCCCTTCAGTTGCTGAAGTTTCAAGTTGTGTTTCATCGAAAGTTGAAGCATTGTGGCACAAAGCATCAATTCCAATTATAACACACAAGCGGATTGTAGCGAAGATAAAAGAACTTCGTGACAAACATCGAAATATGCTCAAGCCCTTAAAGAGGCGACAGAATGATCCTAACAATCAAGCAAAGATGCAAAAGTTTTGAACAGAAGCTAATTCCCAGTTGTTTGACATCGAAGTCTGCATGTGGACATAAATCACTGCAATTGTGAGAAAAGTTTTAAAGTACCAGTTGCAGAAAGACCATTTTTGGAAGATCAAAGAAGTACAAGAAATATGATGATTGGAAGTATAGATAAAGTTGTTACAAATCGATTGAAAGAACGCGATAATCGCAAAAGAAAATTTTCCAATATTTACAAAACTCCAACAACAGCCACTACATCTAACTCCCTATTGTCTTCAAATATTGTTGAATTCAGTTCGTCTTCTGATACTGAAACTGACAACGATACTGATGTCCATTTTCCCTCAATACATAAGGTTCCAACTACTGAAACAGCAGAGAAAAAACAGATGAGAGCAAACATTCCAAATATCTCAAAGGAATGTGATCGTCATAGCATTTCAGATCGTGCTGCTGCAGCCATTGCTAGAGCCGTGTTGCAAGACGTTGGTATTGTGAATGACTGTGACAGTACAATGGTTATTGATAGAAGTAAAATTCGAAGAGAAAGACAGAAGGTTAGAAATGAACTTCAATCCCACCTTGCCTCTAATCTAACAGGTTTGTACTTCGATGGTAGGAAGGACAAAACAAAAATGCAACTCAAGAAAGGTTCCAAGTATTATTACAAAATAGTTACAGAAGAACATGTTACACTAACTCAAGAGCCCCATTCAATATATGTCGGTCACATAAGCCCTGAAAATGGAACATCAGTTAAGATAGCATATGGCATAGTAGATTTCTGTGATTCGAATGGAATTTCACTAGACAATTTAGTAGCTGTCGGTTGTGATGGCACGAATGTCAACACTGGTGCGTTGGGAGGTGTCATCCGTTTACTTGAGATGAAACTCGATAGGCCTTTGCATTGGTTCATTTGCATGCTTCATGCAAATGAGCTCCCTTTTAGACATCCACAAGTGGACCAAAAGCTTTCTCAGGTCCAATTGGTAAATTACTTCCAATCTGTGAAACTTTTCCTGTAAAGCATTTTTCAACTATAGAGATGAATAGTTTTCCAGATGTAAATTTTAAAGATTTAAGCACAGATCAAATGTATTTATATAAAATGTGCCACGCAGTGAATAATGGTGAATGTCCAATAAATCTGGCAAATAAGATTCCAGGTCCTGTAGTTCACTCGCGCTGGCTGACAACAGCTAACAGAGTTCTGCGGTTATATGTTTCAATGGAAGATCCAACTGAAAATCTAGTGACTCTTGCAACATTTGTTGTTAAAGTTTACGCTCCTACTTGGTTTTATATCAAGACGAAATCATCTTGTACGCAAGGGGCACTCCATCTATAGAGAATGATAAACTTTTCAAGGTACCTTAAAAATGACTTAAGATGTATTGTGGATGAGGTAATTCAGAGAAATGCTTATTTCAGTCATTACGAAAACATCCTACTTGCAATGTTGACTGATGAGCGCGAACACATAAGGAAACTGGCATTCAGAAGAATCCTTGGTGCAAGGGAAAAAAACAGTCAGTCACTAAGACGCTTTCGTGTGCCGAAACTTAATTTCGAAGCAGATGGCTACACTAATCTAATCGACTGGAGTGTTGTCCAGAAAAGCGAGCTCCCTGCTACAAAGAACATCTCAAGTCATGAAATAAAGTCATTTGTAAATGGTGTTTCATTGACTGAACCAGTTTTAAACATTCCAGAGTTTCCATGTCACTCTCAGTCAACTGAAAGACACGTTAAGCTTGTTACTGAAGCATCAGCTACTGTTTGTGGTCTTGATCGCAGAGATGGAATGATTCGTGCCACACTGGAATCGAGATCTAAGACAAAAACTTTCAACACTAAGTCTCAGTTTCAATTATAAAGATTTAAACAACTGTGAAGTTCTTGGATATATTATACATTTGTAATTTTATTTAATTGCCTTTCAAGTGGCTTGGGGCAGACCTAATTATTAACCTAGGGCCAAATGCTTTAACCACAGTTTACCTTGTACTAAAAGGCTACTTTTGCATACCCAGCCAACATGAATTTGCAATTATAAGAAATTATTAAATTTTCACCAAAAACCACATAATGGACGAAAAACCCATATTTTCGAGAGCTTTGGGACAGACCTAAAAACTAATTATTATAGGTATTTACAATGGCTAATTTGCTATGGTGCTCAAAAGATAGAGCTAGATCCAAATTCTTGTAACGTTGATGTTCCTTGTGCAAATGTTGTATGCTGGAAAAAGAGTACGTTGCTCATTGAATTGTTGCACCAACATAACTTTACAGCTAAATCAATT